AATAATAATAATAATAATTTTGTGTTGTGATTCAATTTATCATTTACTTGACAATTTATAATGCAATTTATGAATTTGGTTGGAAACTTGGAAAATCGGATTGATAATAACATTTTAATCCAAAAATATGTTAATTGACTTTCCTTAATCTACACATATTTTTTGTGAGATTTCTTAATTTACGTACAATAAACAAATATATGAATAGAGGAGTATCAAACTAAATTACTAGAGATCGTATAAATTAATTGAAAGAAATATAGCATAATACTTTTGTTTTAAATATTCAAACTCTGTCTATATTTAACTTACTATTTCTATTTATATACAAACAAAAAAAAACTTATCATTCTTCGGTATTTAGTGTATATTTAAGCTCTGGTTTATAGATAAATGTAAATTTTAATTTTTGAACAGGTATAAAAACTAACATTTTTATCTCATATCATTTACCCAAAAAAATGACAAAAATGTATGTTTTCAGGGGAAGATTCGTATCTCTTAACGAGGTTGAGCCAATGGAATTTCCATTCGGGTGAGTCGTAGAGTAATAACACTAGTAAATATTGTGTGAAATAAATATCATATAGTTAACTTGATAATGGTAATAAATGGAACAGTGTTAACAAGGAATTTCGTTGTTTAAAGCGCACTGATCTGGTGAAAGTCATGGCCGATAATTTACCAACAAGGACTATACGTACCAATTGTCAAGTGCTTTCTGTCGAATTAGATCCTGTAACAAAGTTTCCACACCTTATGCTTAGCAATGGAAGTGTTCTTCAAGCTAAGGTATATTTCTGTGTTTTCTACATTAATATTTTCTTTCTATTTTAGGAAGGTGAAAATGCCTGTTTCAAAATTGAAAGCAATTGAATCATTATGCAGTAAATTGATGTAATGCGATTACAGACCAGCAAATATGCATGTAACAGGTTTATATTTATATATACTGATATATCAGGTTGTTATTGGATGTGATGGTGTGAATTCTGCCATTGCAAGCATGTTTGGGTTACACCGAACCACACTCAGGCTCTTCTCTACGAGTGTTGCACGAGGCTTCACAAATTATCCAAATGGTCATCGATTTTCCAGTGAATTTGTGATGATGAGCAAAGGTCAAGTCCAACTTGGAAGGCTTCCAGTGACAGACAAACTTGTTTATTGGTTTGTGACAAGGCTAAGGACTTCTAAAGGTCACCAACTTCTTTTATCTTATACATAATACATACATGTTAGAGGTTCTTCATCATCATTTTGATTAAACCTGAGAATTATTTTTGCTTTAAAAGCAGATTCAAAAATCTGGAAAGACCCAGTGCTCATTAGACAATCGTTGATGGAGTCAATGAAAGGTTTCCCAGAAGAGGCGATGGAAATGATGAGAAATAGCAAGTTGAGCTTCTTGCATCTCACCGAGTTGAAGTATAGGCCACCGTGGGACTTGCTCTTCAACAACTTCAGGAAAGGAACGGTAACAATTGCTGGTGATGCAATGCATCCCACAGGCCCATTTGTTGCACAGGGTGGCTCAGCCTCCATAGAAGATGCCATTGTTCTTGCTAGATGTCTTGCACAGAAGGTGTTCGATAATAAGAACAAGACAGAGGAAACGGCAATAAACAGTGCAATGGCAGAGGAAGCGTTTGATCAATATGTGAAAGAAAGGAAAATGAGAAACTTTTGGCTCTCTTTTCATTCTTTCCTTGTTGGTAAGAAGCTTGACACAACATCATCCATAATCAGATTCATTATCCTTGCAATCATGTCCACTCTATTTAGAGACCCCGATTGGCATTCCCGTTATCATTGTGGAAATCTATAGGAACATCAAGCTTTGGATATTCATATAATTTCAAATACTATTCTATTGTATATCATGATCATTAATATTTTATATTCCAAGTCCAAAACCCTCACACCATGTTAGTCATGTTAATAAATTAGTAGTTTTTAGGTGTTATGGCTTCAGTACTCAAATTTGTTGCCATTTAGGTGATGTAATGTAACATATGGTTGGTATCTATTGATTTTATTAATATGTTGTAAGGTTAGTGTAAACTATAAAGCCATTTTATTCATGGTTGTTATTTAATAATAGAGCCTTTCAACTCCCATTCTAAATTGTCGTAGTTCTCATTTCAGGAGCTTCGAGTTTTTAACAAAATGATATTAGAACGTTGAAAATGTCTCTTTTAGTTAAGACATCTGGTGAAATACCATAAATCTCCAAGTTAGGATAAAGTCTATTGTATGAAAAAATCCATGAAAAAAATGAAATTTATGTTGTTAATAGCTCGTTTGTTGTTGATTCAGAGAAACTATTTATCACATGATTATGAAGTAACAATTCCTTCTGGCAAGTTGTGTACACTAAAATGGTATTGATGGGAAAGGAAACACTAAGTTCCAAGTCGATGGACCAAATCTGATAATCAATACACTGTTTGGTATTCTAAGTTTTAAACATAATTGCTAAATTTTGTAAACTGCAATAAAATTAATATTATCCAAACAACTATCATTTGAACAAAAGTACTTTTAAAATAAGAGTATCTGAACACAGACCAAGTTATATTCAACTACTTTAAGTTGAAAAAGTTAAGTTAAATCAAACTTAACTTTTATAAAACTTAAATACAAATACACTTAATAAGATTTTTCTTCCTGTACCACCAACTTTTATTGCATTTCCAATTTTATCTTTTAAAAATATATTTAATAAATAGATAATTATTATATCTATCTTCACATTCTTCATTTTTATTTTGTTAAAATTGAAATATTGAAGTTGTGTATAACCCTTATTTTCCCATTATGGTTTTTCATTTTCTCAACTGAAGTTGTGTAAAGTTGTGTGAAGGTGATTTGCAGTTGTTAATGCAAGATATTCAAAGTGATGAATTTATCCAAATATTTTTGTTAATTTAAAGTAGTTAATAGTTTATTTATTGGTATGTTTTTTTTTTCCAATGTAGTGGTTCGAGAGGATGTTAAGGTTGATTGAGATTAAATGTAAGATGCATCCAATTATGAAATTTGTTTTTCTTTATCATTATTTTGAAATTAGCACTAAGATCTATGTTTCGGTGTACATTTTCCTGTGTGTCTTTGTTGCTCTTGACTGTATGGGTTGCTTGCTGGTTGTCTGGGACGCGTGCTTTTCTCCAATCATTGTTGTTCTTCATACTCGTCAAAGGAGGGGGAGGTACCTGCAAAGATACTCCGACGCTCAAGTCAGATGTGAGTTATGGAGCTGAAGCTCTCCAGAGAATGATTACGATACTGCTCTGAAATATTATTCAGGATCTCTAGAGCATAAAGAGAACGTACCTGGACTTTGGTCCTGTCACTGTATTTATAAGCAAAATAAAAATAACCACCTTACCTAAAAATGTGGTTAGTGGCTTTGACAAATATCTAAGATATTTATGTTATTACATAAATATCCTTACTACATAACATGCCCCCCAAGTCCGAGTTAACCGTTCCGTTTTATGGACGTGGTAACTATAGGACTTATGAGTTTGAGGGAGGCTGTCTTTGCTGTAATTTAGAGAGCCGTGTTCCGGTTATTGCTAT